AATATTTATTGTTTATCTATTATTGGCTGGTAATTCCTGTTTCACCCCGTACTTAAGTTTTTTAAAGGAACACCAGATTTCTGTAAGATAGCTAACTTCAAGGAGTAATGATAACATCGTTTACACTAGAAATGTATTTTTTTATTACTACTAGTTGTTAATAATACTTATAAAAGCGGACACTCCGTGTGAAACTATGTCACCTCAGTAAAATTGGGTGACACCATATTTTGGTTTTTGAGTTATCATGTAATAAAGCAGAAGAAAGAAGAACAAGATATTCAAACTTTATGATGTGATATTTACAGACTTTCATAGAACTTGTGACTCAATCATTACATAGATATTGATATAAAAGGCAACACTGTATAGTATTATAAAATTCTGATGATATGTTGAGGAGATATTTAAAATATCATGTCGATGATCAATCCGAGCCATCCTTGCTACCGCCTGCCTGATATACTATCACTAATTGGAGTTTATTATTAGACGCGATAATGTCTAAGATAAATATAACAAAACCTCTGTTATACTATTTGTATTATAACTTTCAGGTTTTTATGAATTTTATTTTACAAATATTATAATGGAGTACAAATGAATTACGAGTACACTACGCGTGGGTTTCTAAACCAATGTAAAAACTTTGTTTAAACAATCAATAATGGTTAGTAGCTACATCTATATTGTGCTTAATCTTACTATAAAGATGTCCCATTATGGTGTGTATGGGCGTGTCAATCTATGTGTGGTGTTGTGGGTATCGTCCATCAACCAGAGTTGGCTTGCTCGATTACTGCAATTGTTTGCATTCTAACTTGAAACTGCCCGCCGGTGTATTTGGTCTACTTCGTTTTAGGACTTTTGCCCGAGAAGGAAGATAAAAACAACCCTAACATAGGGCACATTTCCACTTTTTATAGATTTTTGGCTTTGAATTTATAGATACAAGTACTTAATCAATTGAATGAATCAGTTACTACCTTCCACAAAGCAGGATATGCAGTTAACATTTAATGAGTGTGTGTTTTCTGATGGAAAAGCCACCTTGGGATATCTGCTGTGTCCACCGAGGAGAATCGAACCCCTGATTTTAGCATTTTAAATCCGAAGATTTACCGCTGTCCTACAGGGGACCATTTAATGAGGTCATTAGGGATTTAATAACAAAAGAAAGAAGGAAGGGGGAAATTCTCAGGTAGTTTATAATAAACTTAAGTTAGTTACATAAGATCCGTCTTTCTATTCACAAAGGCCAACCTATGTATTTATTAAAATATAAATGGGGAAAACATATACCACAAGTAATTTCCTTTTCTGTTGTTGTTGTTCTCGTTTAAGTTTTGCCATAATGATTTTGTATATGTTAATTTCAAATTGTGTATTTTATAGTGAATGTTGTTATGTAATATATATATAAGTCACTTGTCGTTTGGTAACGTTTCATTCATGTCATTTATGACCTGATATTGATGTCTTAATAAGTTTGTATGTAATACTTCAAACGTTCACGAAGCTGGCGTGAATTTCACTTTTTTACGTTTTATGTATATACTAGCGAAAGTACCCGGCTTCGTTTGGGTTATTAGGTTGATTTATTATAGATGACTACGTCTGTGTGTGTATTTTAATTAACATAAAAGTATAACCTATATATTTTTGTTGCTCCTTTACGGGATGTGGCCTGTTTATAAAAGTAACTTCCCTCTGACTTGCAAACTTAAATAATAAAAACAAATAATACAAAACAAACTTCTTTAATTAACGGAGCCTCTAAATTAGAAAACAACAAATATTTTTTTCAGTTTTGTAGTTTATACATTTCACTTTAAACTTTTAACACACGGCTTCTTAACAACAATA